ATAGTGCGGAGTGAATAAATCTGATCAATGCATGATCTGTTCTTTCTAAACCCACACTGATTGTCTCGTAGCAAACTTTCTAAACCGTCACTCATGCGTTGTAATATGATGATTTGATACAGTTTAGATGCTGTGGATCTTAGAGTGATCCCCCTATTATTGGAGCAATGAGAGGTATCACCCTTCTTTGGTACAATTATCACGATGCCTTTCAACCAGTCGTCAGGCACTGCTTCTGAATTCCAAACTTTAGAGAACAATTTCTCCATCCTATCCACAAGACCACTTGCCCCATACTTTAACTGCTCATTAGAGATTTCGTCGATCCCAGCACTTTTGTAGTTCTTCAATTTTTTGAGACAGTTTAAAATCTCAAGTCTAGTGGGGGGACCATCACCATCACCAAGATAAGGAAAGCATGGAACCACTTCAAGATGGTCCAGGTCAGATAAATCCGCATTCGTGGGAGGAGGGTTTAATAGCTCCGAAAAATGTTCTCCCCATCTCTCTCTCTGAGCAGAGGGATCAGCAATCAACTTCCCGGATTTGTCTCTTACAGCAGTTGATTTTCGATTCTTCTTACCGGACAGTGTTTTTATCCGTTGCCAGACTTCTCTTTGCCGGCCATGGACAGCAGCTGTTTCCAGATCTGCTGCAACTCTAAGAGCCCAATTCTCGTCGTCTTTCCTGCAGCTCTTTTTGACAAGTTTGTTGGCCCGAGAATACTCGCTCCTATTGTTGTTGTCACTAGGCGCCATTTGTTTAATCTTACTGCGTTCTGCAATAAGGCTTTTGGTCTCCTGAGACAAATGCTGCTGCTTTCTGCGCCGGGGGCGCTCACCCAGTACCTCCATAGACACTTCTTTAATAGTATCCTTAACTAATGTCCATTCTCCATCAAGATTCTCCTCCATTGGTAGGCAGCTAAAACGATTTTGAAGAGCAATGCAGTACTCTTCAACCTTGGACTGATCTCTAAGATTCTCGATTGCTGGAGATATCCTACGAGAGGCGTTCATTTTTTGAACTGCCATAAGTTTGACTCTAAATTGACCCCGAACCAAATAATGATCGGAGCCAATGTCTGCACCCCTACATGATCTTACGTCAAGTAGAGAGTGACTCCACTTGGTAGAAATACAGACATGGTCAATCTGATTTACTGTGCGGCCATCTGGAGACTTCCAACTTCCTTTATGAATATCACGATGCTGGAAAAGCGTCCCACCGATTGTCAGCTGATGTAATGCACAGAAATCTAATAGTCGAAGGCCGTTGTCATTTGATGAAACGTGAAGGGAATGCTTACCAATCACACCGGACCAAGTTGAGTTATCTTGGCCAATGCGAGCATTTAGATCTCCAAGTAAAAACTTCACGTCATGAGCTGGCAGGGACAAAAGGATTTCGCGGCATGTACGAAATCGCGAAATTTCCCATTCTCCGCGACAAATTTTATGTGTAGTTTAATGTATAGCCTGTTAAATTTCGCGGTACCGCGATTTTTGGCCAAAATAATCGCGAAATCCTTTTGTCCCTGTGAGCTGATAGTTCATCAAATGCCCCAGATAGCTGCTGATAAAAGTCATCCTTTACCCCGACTGCTGCATCCTCAGTTGGAGCATAAGCTATCACAATCGAAATGTTGATATGTCGACTGTGCAGCCTCGCTGCAAGAATACGTTCTGATATCGGACTGTATGAAATCAATGAATTTTTAGTCTTCTTCGAGAGGACTAAACCTACCCCTTGTCGTCTGTACCCATCACTTCTTCCTGAGTTAATAAAGAGGGACCCATCATCCAAGGTAACCTCACCAGTGCCGGGTCTGTGCGTCTCTGTCAGCCCCAAGACATCCATTTTATATGCTGACATATTCTGTGACAATTCATACAGCTTTGAGGAACTGCTCTCCAATGATAACACATTCCACGTTCCCACATTAATGCTGTGTTTGATAAAGTTGCATGGGAGTGCTCTCCCCTTCTCCGGGTCCACATGAGTGATATGCTGTGAACTAATAACACTGTTGAAATAAGGCGACTTCTTTGTTCTCATCTGCACACTGGGGTCCTTGCGGCTTTGCCCAGAGCACTTCATCCTGGCTACACCCCTCCTTGAACTCCGAGAGTCACTCCACTTTTGGTTATTCATTGATGTTTCAGTAGCTATTTTAAGGTTGAAGGGTAGCTGGCCCCTCGAACCTGGTAGTTTTTTGTCGACCTTTACTGGTCTAGATCCATAGTTTTTTGTTGCACCTCATCTGTTTAAACTGGAATCACCCAGAACAGATTACTGTACTTAATAGTGGCACCTCGTAAAGGGTGTACTATGGTCATTGAAATAGGAGAGGTTATCGGTTACACGATCACTATTTCCTGAGATTATAAAAATCTCTTGGAATCACCCAGAACAGATTACTGTACTTAATAGTGGCACCTCGTAAAGGGTGTACTATGGTCATTGAAATAGGAGAGGTTATCGGTTACACGATCACTATTTCCTGAGATTATAAAAATCTCTTGCCACTAAATTATATATATAACTTATTATATCAAATTATATAGGGACCCAGGAAAAGGCCCCAGGAGGAGGAGGAGGAGGAGGAGGACTGGGGAGGAGGAGGACTGTTGAGGACTGATGAGGAGGACTGAGGATGAGGAGGAGGAGTAGGAGGAGGACTGAGGAGTGGAGGAGGAAGAGGACTGGGGAGGATCAGGAAGACCCAGGAGGAGGACCCAGGAGGAGGAGGAGGAGGACTCAGGAGGATGACTCAGGAGGAGGAGGAATCAGGAGGAGGACTGAGGAGGACTGAGAAGGAGGAGGAGGACTGAAGAGTACTGAAGAGTACTGAGGAGGATGGCTGAGGAGGATGACTGAGGAGGATGGCTGAGGAGGATGACTGAGGAGGATGACTGAGGAGGATGACTGAGAGGGAGGAGGAGGATCAGGAAGACCCAGGAGGAGGAGGAGGAGGACCCAGAAGGAGGACCTAGGAGGAGGAGGAGAACTGAGGAGGATGACTCAGGAGGAGGAGGACTCAGGAGGAGGACTGAGGAGGACTGAGAAGGAGGAGGACTGAGGAGGATGGGTGAGGAGGATGGCTGAAGAGGATGACTGAGAGGGAGGAGGAGGAGGAAGAGGAGGAAGAGGACTGAGGAGGAGGAGGAGAAGGACTGAGGAGGAGAAGGAGGACTGAGGAGTACTGAGGAGGATGGCTGAGGAGGATGGCTGAGGAGGATGACTGAGAGGGAGGAGGAGGAGGACTCAGGAGGAGGACTCAGGAGGAAGAGGAGGAGGAGGACTCAGGAGGAGGACTTAGGGGAAATGAGGACTGAGGAGAACTGAGGAGGAGGAGGAGGATCAGGAAGAGGACTGAATAGGAGGAGGAGAAGGAGGGGACTGGGAGAGGACTGAGGAGGAGGAGGACTGATGAGAAGGATGAAGAGGAGGACTGAGGAGGAGGATTGAGGACCGAGGAGGAAGAGGAGGAGGATGAAGAAGAGGAGGAGGACCCAGGAGGAGGAGGACTGAGGAGGAGGACTGAGGAGGACTGAGGAGGATGACTGAGAAAGAGGAGAACTGAATAGGAGGAGGAGGAGGGGGACTGGGGGAGGACTGAGGAGGAGGATGGAGGACTGAGGAGAAGGATGAGGAGGAGGATGGAGGACTGAGGAGAAGGACTGAGGGGGACTGATGAGGACTGAGGACTGAGGAGGAAGAGGAGGAGGATGAAGAGGAGGAAGAGGACCCAGGAGGAGGACCCAGGAGGAGGACTCAGGAGGAGGAGGACTGGGGAGGAGGAGGACTGTTGAGGACTGATGAGGAGGACTGAGGACGAGGAGGAGGAGTAGGAGGAGGACTGAGGAGGGGAGGAGTAAGAGGACTGAGGAAGATCAGGAAGACCCAGGAGGAGGAGGAGGAAGAGTAGGAGGAGGAAGCATCTAAATGTTATTTCCATTTTTGTCCGTTTTTAGCAATTTAGGTGTCCATTAATGTCCGCTAATGTCCGCCTATGTCCGCCTATGTCCGCCTATGTCCTGTCCTTTTTGGATTCTATGAGACAAGTGGACATGGACGGACGTGACACCCCCCCCCCCCCCCCCCCCCCCATTAAGCGTTTTCGGTTAAACTTTATTTTTATAAAGTTACGCTATTAGTATTAAAGATTTTTTTACCAAAACCCAATATTGGGTAGTGGAACGTCGCCAGTGCCACATTTTTCCAAGCAAAAAACAAAATGTTATCAATGTGCAATGTGAATTACCGTTTTAAAATGCAAAATGATGAAATTTGTCCATTCACTCACAATTTATGATTCATTGAGGAACATTATATCTGTAGGCAGTTATACTCGACACTAATAAATTATGATGCGATAAACCTCACCTCATTGGACAGACTACTTTAAAAGGGGTATAATAGTAAATATATAAAAGGGGTATAATAGTAAAGGGGGTAAATAGTAAAGGGGGTATAATAGTAAATATATAAAAGGGGTATAATAGTAAAGGGGGTAAATAGTAAAGGGGGTATAATAGTAAAGGGGGTAAATAGTAATAGTATTAGTATACCCCCAATAAAGGCAACGCTCGTGCTTGCCAGCACTGTGATCATATACTGAGTATATAATAATAGTCGTATTTTAATCTCTATGCGCACCAAATAGCATTCTTGTTCGAACCGCTCGTTCACGTACTCATAGTCCTTAAATTGTAGTCCTACTGTGGTTTGCAAATGTGTACAGGACTTTTCTTCTGAAACTGATTGTAATAAGGCCAGATTTGGAAAACAAAATATTAATGAGGACGTTACATTCCTAGTTTCCTTAGTTAGGGACACATTTTGAAAATGTGTCTTCTTTCAGAAGACCCAATTGACATGTATATATCACATTTATGATTGTATTAGTAGTATACTGTCATTGAATCACACAATCTGATATTACTGAATGAAAATTTTCCACACATAAATACTTTTAACAAAATAAAGACGTTTATTATAATTGTGTTCAATCTTAATTGTTAGAAGAAATCTATACAGTGCAATTAAAATTAAACATTAAATCTGCTAAATTAATATCAAATCAAACCACCTACGATTAACTCAAATGAATTTCTTTTCATCCCAAGTAAAGATTAATAATCAAAATAAAAAATCTCAACTCCAGTCATGCTTTTATAATTGACCTTTGTAATCAGTATCAAGCTCTCTGCACAAAGTTTCACTGCGGAAACTATCGGTGTTATTTTACAGGATTTTATAACATTTTATAGGATTCTATGGGATTCTATAGGAATCACTGTGCGAAATTCAAAAAAGTACAGACGTCAAGCTATTCCATACCATCCTGATCCAAAAGATTATTTACAGAGATGATAAACTTACAATTATTAAAAATAAATTTACTGTGTACAAAATTGTCCAGATGTAAATTCATGACAACCGACAAGGTAATAAAATGTTTGGGGTCTTCAAATGAAAAAAATGTTGTCCATCGTTTTGAAATATATCCCAAAACATTGAATCTTTAGTTCTGCTAATTTTTGATCACTGTTTTAACAAATTCCGAGTATAATACATGCCAAGTATAAGCTACATAACTGATACATTTTCGGCAGAAATCATAATTTAATATTTTCCTAAAACAACAAAAAACTAAATCTTAAAAACACAAAAAGATCAACTGCAGCCGTACTTTATTACGGGTTTAAATTCCATGTCAGTTACAAGGTTATAAAGTTATTAACTGGCCAGTCAACCAAGTTAACGAGCAACCAATTAACTAATTAACCAACTAACTAATTAACCAATTAACTAATTAACCAACTAATCAGTTGATGAACAAGATACACTCACGTGTCACATGACATTTAAAAGATTCTAAAAAGATTAATAAGATCTGACCCAAAACACGTTCTGCGGTTAATGATTGAAAAATTTGAGACTTAATCCCAAAAAAGAACATCCGTTCCGCAATACAACAACCCTTCAAGTGTGGTTATAATACTTGGTCAAAAATTCCGAGTAAATTTAAAATACATAAACGGCACTACGAAGATATCTGAATAAATGAAATTGTCAGTTTTATAATTGGACCTGAAGCTTTCGGAATCCTGTAGGCTTTTAACCATAATCAATTAATTAATTAATCAATTGGGCAATTAAACAATTAACCAATCAATCGATTAATTAATTAATTAATTAATTAACCATAAGCGATGCCGTGTTCGTCCAACAGGCTCTCCAACATGGAGATTCGTGCCTCTGACTGTGATTTGTGGGCTTCCAAACTGAGGGGGTAGAGCAATGTGAGAACAATATTAGGATTATGACACAATTAAAGAACAATAACACAAAGTTTCAGAGAAATATAAAAACAATATCAGAACAATATCAGGGTAAAATTAGGAAAAATCTAAACAAAACCTGAAAAAGCAAAAGAAGATTTAACTGTAAGAAAATTGAAGAAAAAAAGGGTAAAATTAGAAATTGCACAACAAAATCTCTTAGCTGTAGTCTAACCAGAGTCACTCATAATAAAATCAACTAACGCATAAATTAAATAATTTATTCACTAAAACTTACTTAATGAGAGTTTGACTGTCCGCAATAGCGGTAGTCATCAGTTGTTTTAGGCTTTTGTTGAGCATTGCTGCCGACCTTTGTACCTTCATCTTCAGCTCAGGATCCTCGGCTCGGTCCTTGCCTGCACAATTTTACCAGGTTACTGTATCAAGTTTCTAGATTAAAGGCTACCAGGTTACTGGGTTACAGGTTACCAGGTAACCAGGTTACCAAGTTACCAAGTTACCAAGTTACCAGGTTACCAGGTTACCAGGTTACCAAGTTACCAAGTTACAGGTTACCAGGTTACCAGATTACTTATAAACATAATGGTTGTAACACACTATTTACCAATAGACAAGGCTAGTCTCTCAATGTTCCGTGTCTCGTTCATCGCACGTAAGATTAGATCCTGGCTGGTTTGCTCGGTGAGGTTGTCCACCTTTGGGTTGTCCACTCTTTCTTCCTGAGTCAGATCTATTTTTAGAGTTTGGTTACGGAATTAGAGCGGGGTGGTTAATGGCAATGAGTGCCTCCCATAAGGCTGATGAAACGGATTTGAGTTATTTCAATATGCTAAGAAATGCTTGATTGTGGCGCAATAATTTTTTTCAAATATCAAAATCCATGATGAGCATCCGAATTTCTGAAATTACGAGTTAAATATCCTGTAAAAGTGTAAATGCTATCTATCCAGAAACTTTAATTTTCGAAAATCTGCTGCAACAATGTCGGCAAAACGGCTCTATAATTGCTCTATAATTGATTTCCATGATCTCAGTGCTGACTAAAATATTACCAGGCAACTATCTAGCACGTTACGATGGACACTCTGAATTAACATCGCAGCAGTATTTCTCCGTCCTGACTCCTAGATACGATAAAACCTCGATTTACTACCGGGGTAAAGGAAACAGCCGCGGTGAATCGGGGTTTGTGGTAAATTTGGCGCGGTAAATCGGTGTTTGTGGTAAATTGGGCGCGGTAAATCGGTGTTTACAGAAACATTGTGCTACCCCCGCATCCATAATTCCATACTCAAAACAGTAAATTTGCAGTTTAATGACCTTCAAGCTTACGAAGTTTAGAAAGTAGATAAATTAATATATTTTGCTACAAATTGCTACATACCTCTGTGCTGTTGTTTGTAGCACTAGCCATGTTAGTTCTGTCAGTTTGATATTGAAACTGTCTGGCAGAAACGTTCGCCTGCCTTGAAGGAATATTTGATTGTCTTGATAAAGGAGCAGCTGTTTGTCTTGATGAAGGAGCAGCAGCAGTTTGTCTTACTGGGGGAGCAGCAGCTGTTTGTCTTGCTGGAGGAGCAGTATTTTGCCTTGATGAAGGAGCATTTATCTGCCTGGGAGGAGTATTTACAGGTCTTGACGGAGGAGGAGCAGTTTGTCTTGAAGGAAGAGTCGGCTGTCTTGATGAAGGAGCAGCTGACTGCCTTTCAGGAGCAGTGTACTGTCTTGAAGGAGCAGTGTTTGATCTAGTAGGTGGTTGTGGTGTCATGTCACGTGACGTTTCACTCTCTGCTCTTGTTAAAGGAGATATAACGGTCGGTGTCGCTGGCTCTGGATCCTAGATAAGATAAAATTAATCAAAAATCTATATAAATTGTGTATACTGCTCAAAAGCCCCTATGGGTAGCCTTCGGGTCTTTCAAACAAAAACAATATATTTATATAAATAAGTACAGTAAACGGCGCGACCACAGAAAATATGGAAAAGAATTTGAAAAAAAGATTGGTCAACAAATCGGGTCTAAATAGTTTTTAATTAAGTACCTAGACATTCCTCCAAATCATAAATTGGTTGACTAACAAGTAGTAGCTACAAATTAAATAAACGTCTAGCAGGTTGTGGCAACTAAACTCCATAGAAACACTACCCCTAGCACGATGAGACATGTCAGAAATGCCGAATTTTTCTGACATTATCTGCATATCTCGCTACTTGCGTGATGACAAATATTTAGACTTAAGCTGACGTGGCTAAGAAATTTGTATCCAATTCACAGAATGGTGCATTGCATAATTACCGAATAGTTACTTTTCTACAGAAGTACAGTACAATGTACAATGTACATGCTAGAGAACTCACATCAAGAGTAGTATCTATTTTGGTGTTATCCTCACTTTCACTTTCACCTTCACTTTCTGTTTCACTCTCATCCGACTCTTCTTCTGATTCACCCGAACTTTCTTCATGCTCAGAATCCCTGAAACAGGAGTAAGATTAGGGGTCGTTCACATATTACGTAATCAGCTGAGTGGGGGGGGGTTCCGAATGATTACGCTAGTGTAATTTTGACAGTTGACACAATAGCTATGTGTAAAACTGATTACGGGGGGGGGGGGGGGGGGGGTAAAAATGTTCCAAAAATGATAACGTAATAATATGTGAACGACCCCTTAAGAAAACAGATTGGAGACGTCGACAAGAAACATTGCGACCAGTTCGTAACAGGAATAATTTGAGTAGTCATGAAACCGTGTAGTCTCGGCGTCCTACAATACTTAAACCAGACAAGTTATATTATTCTGAACTCATTCCGCACATATATAACTGGAAAAACGGAAAAACTGGAAAAACGGAATATGTTTGTAGTTAAAGAGTAGATTGGACGTACGTTTTAGACATGGACCCAAGTGAGGGTAGTTTGGGATGATGTTGCTGCTGTGGGAACACCTGAAATAAATATTATTTGAACAAAATTTATATATCAGATTTATTGGATTGATCAATTTATAAAAATGTGGAATGATAAGAATGGATTAAAAAACAGAGTACATAGTTTTATTACCCTGACTACATACAATATAATTAAATAAACTTTTTAATATACAAACAATTAATACAATAATTAATATGATAATTAACCACACACCTGATCGGACAAGTGTTTAAGTTTGCCAGTACTGAACTGTTCTTTAGCAACTTTAATACTTGTGTTCCATGTCTCCTTCTGGTCCTTGTTTGAGCATCGTAGTTCATACAAGTCCGGAGTTTTGGGGTTCTGGTGAGATTTAGTTTTTCACATTTTATAATTGTCTAACAAGATTTACTTATTTTACTTTTGATTCGAAGGTACTTTCGGAAATACGTTCTATTCCTGACAAATGTTAGAGGGTCTCATCAACATATAATGACCACTTGGTGCTCATTGTACCTCCTAAACAACAATTGTTCTCCACTACTAAAACCACGTAATCAATCATGATAACCACTGAAGAAACCGAGGAATGACAAGCAAAAACCACGTACTTTATTAGCAATAATAAAGCGTTTCTCTCTCTTATCAATGGCTGAGAGATGCATGTCCTGCAACATGATTACGGGGGCTTTAGGAGGGTTGGGGGAGAGGTCGTGACTGAGTGGTTTGAGGAGATAGCGCGCATCCTGTTTTAGCAGGAGGACTAGACAGTCTGTCATTAGCAGACCTAGAACTTCTGTGGGGGAGGAAGGTTGTGAGTTTAGTTTAATTATAAGTAATATTATTACTTTTATAATTTATAACACAGTTTATAATGAGAAGTTTACAAGTTTTATACATATGTCCTGTATCTACAAGTTAATTTTCGTGATTTTGGTGGGGTTACAAAAGGACTGGAAAATTTATCTTTTGAAGATCAATAGTCTCCACTCTTTTACAATCCTTTATGATTACATTATATTTATAATATGATCAATATGTTTAATATGATTAATATGAATAATATGATTAATATGATTAATATTTTAATATGATTTATTTAATATTTATAATATAATCAATTAATTGATAAAGGAACACAAACCTAGGGAGTGATCTTTGTCAATCATTAAAGTTAATGTTCCATCAAACATCAGCTTCCGATGAGGCGCATTTATTCTCATATTCTGAAAAATTTGAAAAAGACTTATTGAGTAAGATTTCAGAGTAAAACAACCACAGTGACACCTTTCACAAAATATTTCAGCTCTGAAAAATCAAATCATCGAACACCATGACAATATCATGTCAACTAATTACTTAATCAGCCGTCTAATTAACCAATTAACTCACATGTAAATGGCCCATTCCCTTCATCTCCTCAGGGATCTGATTATCAATGCTCTTCTGCAGTCTCTCCAGTCTGTTAGCGTTCTCGGTCTCCCTGATCCTCAGGTTTACGAAACACGCCAGATCCTGGCCGAACAAAGAGTCACAACATGAATTACTTTACAAGACATATTTATAACGTACGAAATGTGGCGGTTTTCCGAAAATTTCGCCCTATTTTCGGACCGCCAAAATTTCGGTCGTCGTAATAGAATCCGTCGCATTATCTTTTAGCTTATTTCAATGACTGTGCCTTCACTGCTTTATTTTGTTTCTAAAAAGTAATATCAAGTAAAATAAATAAATAAATTCTGGCATCTTGGGACAAATTATCACCACACCAATGACGAATTGAATGTCAAGCAATACAGTTTAAATTTGCATTAAAATACATGTATGTGCTAACATGAAAGTCTTACAGTCTTAATACAGACTAAGTTTGAACATGATTTTACCGAATTTCAGAAATTTCCTTACTGCTTACTGTCACCAAAAATGATGAAAAATACCCTTATTTTCTGTGACGTCCGAAATTTGACGGTTTTTGTTCAATTTCGCCATATTTTCGAACCGCCAAAATTTCGGTCGTCGCAAATTGGTCCGCCACAAAAAAGTCTTGTAAGGTACTAATTATTGAACATGAATGAATCATGTAACATGAACTACTTTTATTTTCCAATTCATGAGAGGTCAGCGACTTTACTGTTTACGCTTTTTCTGAAAACATGCTTCTCTTTTAGAAACTCCTGAACAAAAATACAAACACACGTACCTTGGCAAGTTTTATATTCTCGCTTAACTTTGCGAAATCTGGATTATTCTCGTCTTTAGTGCACTTCTTGAGCTCGCCCAATAGTAGCGGATACTTGGTTATCCTATGCAGCACAGACCTGGATGTAAGGGTGGTTACTGGTAACTTACTGGTAACTTACTGGTAACTTACTGGTAACTTACTGGCAACTTACTGGTAACTTACTGGTAACTTACTGGTAACTTACTGGTAACTTACTGGTAACTTACTGGTAACTTACTGGTAACTTACTGGTAACTTACTGGTAACTTACTGGTAACTTACTGGTAACTTACTGGTAACTTACTGGTAACTTACTGGTAACTTACTGGTAACTTACTGGTAACTTACTGGTAACTTACTGGTAACTTACTGGTAACTTACTGGTAACTTACTGGTAACTTACTGGTAACTTACTGGTAACTTACTGGTAACTTACTGGTAACTTACTGGTAACTTACTGGTAACTTACTGGTAACTTACTGGTAACTTACTGGTAACTTACTGGTAACTTACTGGTAACTTACTGGTAACTTACTGGTAACTTACTGGTAACTTACTGGTAACTTACTGGTAACTTACTGGTAACTTACTGGTAACTTACTGGTAACTTACTGGTAACTTACTGGTAACTTACTGGTAACTTACTGGTAACTTACTGGTAACTTACTGGTAACTTACTGGTAACTTACTGGTAACTTACTGGTAACTTACTGGTAACTTACTGGTAACTTACTGGTAACTTACTGGTAACTTACTGGTAACTTACTGGTAACTTACTGGTAACTTACTGGTAACTTACTGGTAACTTACTGGTAACTTACTGGTAACTTACTGGTAACTTACTGGTAACTTACTGGTAACTTACTGGTAACTTACTGGTAACTTACTGGTTACTTACTGGTTACTTACTGGTAACTTACTGGTAACTTACTGGTAACTTACTGGTAACTTACTGGTAACTTACTGGTTACTTACTGGTTACTTACTGGTAACTTACTGGTAACTTACTGGTAACTTACTGGTAACTTACTGGTAACTTACTGGTAACTTACTGGTAACTTACTGGTAACTTTGAGTTACTAATAGTGAATACTGGATAATGATTGCTTCATTACTGTCACGTGCTTTATCACAATATCACGCACCCTATAAGTTGATCCAGATCCAACCGTTTCGTCACAGAATGCATCTCAGCCTGGTAACAAAAGTTCTTCAGGTCTGCACTGTTCTGGTATATGTTCTTGAACATGGCTAGAGCTGATTTCTGGTGGTTGCAGAACTTGGCACACGCTTCTTTTAGGTCGTACCTGGGGTTTTAGATGATTAAAATTGATTTTCGCTCATTAAAGTTTCAGCTGAAAATAAAATGATTCAGTTAGTTAACAAATTAATACATTAATTGACTGATAAATCAATCAAATAATTAATTACCGGCTGAGATGAGCTTTAATAATATCAGTAACTTCCATCACCGGGTTCTGACTCCTCTGCCTCTCCAGCAGCTTATTACAGAACTCCTTGTGTATGTTGATGAGCTCATCTAGGTTGGGGAACAGCCACAATATCTGCACTTTCTCTATGATGTCGTGCTGTTGTAAAGGGTTGTAGTAAACCTGAGAGAGAAGGTGGTTTAACATCACATGACGTCATCATGTCACGTGACGTCATCATGAAAACACGTGACGTCATCATGATATCACGTGACAATAAAAATTCGGAGAACATTTGAGACCAAATTTCTGCTATCTCGACACCGAGCAAAAAACCGAATATCTATCCCAACTCCAATTGTAGGGGTAGAGCTGATGAAAAATGTGACATAAATTATTGCTTTCGCAGTTATGGGACTCAGAAAGATTAATTATATGTTGTATAATTTCGATAACAGCAATCTATAAGTAAAAACAGCTGTGAAAATGTAATACAAGATAGTTCCTTCTTTCCAGTATCGGTGGCTAAATATAGATATACGTATGGGTACTGACTTTTGCCCCCCCCCCCCCCTGTAGATTTATTATACAGTATGTGATCCCTTCTAAAGCCCCCCCCCCCCTGTAGATTTATAATATAGTATGTGATCCCTTCTAAAGCCCCCCCCCCCTGTAGATTTATAATACAGTATGTGATCCCTTCTAAAGCCCCACCCCCCCCCCCCCCCCTGTAGATTTATAATATAGTATGTGATCCCTTCTAAAGCCCCCCCCCCCCCCTGTAGATTTATAATACAGTATGTGATCCCTTCTAAAGCCCCCCCCCCCCCCTGTAGATTTATAATACAGTATGTGATCCCTTCTAAAGCCCCCCCCCCCCCCCCCCCCCCCTGTAGATTTATAATACAGTATGTGATCCTTTTAAAGAATTAAGACCTGATCGTGTTATACTTATAGAAAAGCTGTTAATGAGCAAGCCGTCACTATGACCTGGACATCATCTGGAACCGCACATGCAAAACCATCAATACGATAGAAAAATGGTGCCAAACCAAGGATCTATCTATCAGCGCACTCAAGACTCAGATAGTCATGTTTACCTGGAATACTAAGTGGACTTTGAGACCAATAAAAGTTGGCAACAACATTATAGGTCTCTCGAAGTCGGCTAAATTCCTAGGAGTGACATTAGACAGCAAACTCAATTACAACGAACATATCATCAACATCACCAAAAAAGCCACGGCATCCCTCATGCAATGTCGAAGAGCTGTCGGCCCCACATGGGGTATGAGCCCTAAAACTTGTAAATGGATGTTCACAGCGGTCATTCGACCCATTCTGTCCTACTGCTGTAGTATATGGATCAGGGCAATTGACACGGACTACAATGCGAGGAAGCTCAAACGTGTGCAGGCATTGGCACTGAGAATGATGTCTGGTGCCATGCCAAGTACACCCTTCCTCGCATTGAATCACCTTACTGACACCCCAGACACCATACTATTCCTGAGGGGCGAAGCAGCGAAGGGGGCAGCAAGGCTTCAAGCCTACGGCAGCCTCACTCTTGAAACTATCGCCCACAGGAAGGGAACTATCAAAAACCACACCACAATCAACAAACAATTCATGGAGGATCTCAACATACCACCTAGAGCCACAAGAGACCTCACAGCACCAACCATGATGCTGGGACGGCACTTCACCGTCACCACTCCTGGAACTAACAACACTGAATACAGAACCGCACTCCAACACACCATCGACAACATTACCAGTGAAACGATCACCTGCTACACAGACGGGTCTCTATCAGACTCCGGAAGTGGGGCTGGGTACATCATCACGACTGACAACAACAACACCACCCTGGAAGAGAGATCATTCAAGCTCCCTGATTATTGTACTGTCTACCAGACAGAGCTCACTGCAATCATTGAAGCCTGCAAGTATCTCTCATCCTACACCAATTCACACATCATTATATGGTCTGATAGTCTCTCCTCCATACAAGCTATTTCCTCGCTTTCAACGAGGAGCAGAACTACTAGAGACTGTTATGACACCCTTAACGCACTCGGATCGAACAACACTCTAGAGATCCGATGGATCGCAGCCCATATTGGGTTGTGGGGAAATGAAAAAGCGGATGAGCTGGCCAAGCTTGGCACGACCAGCGAACACGTTTTGAAATGCCCAATCCCTCAATCTTACATCAAACGACAAATCAACAACAAAGTCCACAGACTGAATCAGGAAATCTGGTTAACGGATGGTCCTAGACACACCAAACTAACACTTGGCCAAAAGCACACCAAAATAATCAATAATATAAACACGTCACTCATCAACAATAGACAAGACTATAGAACCGCAGTCCACCTAATCACGGGCCACTGTGGCTTAAACAAACACCTCCACACCATCCGCAAATCAAGCACCAGTGCTTGTCCTATGTGCGGTGACGGAGAGGAAACTGTCTCACACTTTCTTGGACAGTGCCCAGCTATTGCCCAAATAAGAGGTCAATACTTTCGGGACTACTACCTCTCGGTCAACGACATATTCGACAACCACCACATTACCACAATCGTCAACTTCACAAACCGCACCAAACGCTTAATAGTACCAGAAGAACTGGATCAGACTGGCGTAACTTAGCGCATTAACACATTACATATGCAGCCTTGCCTAACTGATTTATAAACTCATCTGGTACCAAAGCGCGGTATTCCCATTCAGATCATTACCACCACCGTCCTCCACAATTCACACTGTTGTCTCAGATAAACCCCCCCTCATCCCAGAGGTAGGCAAAGCATCTTAATGCTATCCTCTAGTGGGCTTTCTATGCCCAGCCTCTCTTAAAAAAAAAAAAAAAAAAAAAAAAAAAAAGCCGTCACTAATGATAACTAGCTAACAAAATTAATCAGTTAATTAGTTAGCTAATTAATCGTGACCTTGCTTACAGTAGGGGCATTTGTTGGCCTCTTCAGAGAGACTCCAGTTTGATAAGTGAAGTAGACGCGAAGTACGACTTCATGAGAAACTTTACTTTAATCACAGATGAAAAGTGCTTGAACTACCAGCTCGATCAATGATCAGATTTTAGCACAAAAATACATGGTACGAGTGGGTGTTGGCAAAATGCCAAAATGATTGTTTGTTAACTTGGCCAAATAATCACGATTGTCAAAGAAATGAAGCCTTCCAATAACGGAGAGCATGTTTATAAATGCCCCGGTTATTCTACAGAAATAGGCATACTCCCTGTATAGCACACGATCTTGGCTTGTCTGTTCTTATCTTTAGAAATTGTGAAACAAAGTGAACAGTGAATAATACACAATATTGGTACAATTCTAGTTAGATCACTGAAAACTTCCAGATCAATTGACCTCAGTAGTAAGGGGAAAAGTGGCATTCCTTTAAAGGAGCCCTGCCACGAAACAGACAAAAGTCTTCTTATAACGAAGTTAACTGTTTTAAAATACTCCACTACTATACTAAGTAAGGTAAAACATTTACTAGTGACAGATGGCACTTTTTAACTTTTATTCAGTACAGAAATTAGCTACCTACCTCACTACACAGTACACACGAAACCTGGCCCTTTTATTAATTAAGTTTGGAGAAATTGAAAGAACAGTCACCGTTTATGCGCCATTAATATGCCGTTTAAGTGCCGGTTGTACGCCATTTCGCGCCGTTTATTCGTACGTCACTATCACACCTCAAGCTTGTCAGTTGGTCACGTGACATGATGACGTCAGTTGGTCATGCTTTATTTGTCTGTATGATTTGCATGTAAATATGTGTTTATAACGGGGTAGTGTACTGTACTGGACAGCTAATAATAGAGCACATATTGAAGAGATCAGTAGTTTTCTTGTTTGGATTGTAGTCATTCTATTACATCTAAAAGTGCCCGTCTTGAAATTTTTGACTCTTGATACTTGTGTTTACAATTAAACGTGTAAAGTACAAAGTGGAGCTAGTTTCTAATCATTAAATTATAAGAATTCCTTTGCTTTCCCATGTCTAGCCATGTGACATTAAGACAATTATTTACAAAGCTCCAGCTATCACAGATAAAACTGACAGCCTCCTACATTAACTTTCAACACTTTAATACTGTAATATAACGGCATGACGCATTCAGGTTAGTGGACGGATTCTAAAACTTTGGTGACAAGCTCCTAGTTCACGGATAGTTTGTTTAATTTATACCGGACTTTGTACTTGAAATTACACAAAATTCGCTATATTGGTAGTGTGGTTTGCCTTACTGATTTATGGTGGGAATCCGTCAAACTCTATTGTTAAAAACTCAAGCATTTTTAATAATTACAGTGTGACGAACACCTTTATCGAAAACATACAAGGTTGCCAAATTTAATTTTTATTTGCTGCTGTTAAAAGATACTCCTTTCTATCGTCTATTATTAACTTGACGTTATTTCAAATTTTCTTTTCTAAAGTTGTTCCGTTTTGCAACTAAAAAAATCGACTTCTACCTAACACTAAAAGTTAAGTTTCGCAATTTTCCCATTTTAGCATGATCAACACAACTTTTTTGTTTTCTTGAAAAAATTTGTAGTTTTCTTGAACTAAAACCGAATCAGGCAAAACATGAGTTGTTTGAGTGGCCTGTTCAGCAAGGAATCTAAAGTTCTAGGTGGAAGTAACCTCAGAAAACTGAAGAACAAGAAGCTAACCAGCACAGAGTTCATGCAGGTAACCAGGGTAACACCAGCTTGTCCTTGTCGCTTATCACGTGGTCATTTGAGTCATCGCGTGGTCATTTTGAGCCATCACGTGGCCATTTCGTTTTAAGATCTCTAGCAATACTTTTGGGGGCTAGTAGGGGAAATAAATCAACAAACATGCTTTTTAGTACTTTAATTGTGTATAGGGTGTTTCAAAAGTCTTGCAAGGATGTACTTTTTGAATAACCTTTTATGCATTTGTCTAAACTTCATTCTGTAAATTTATACTATGATAATATCGCTGAGCTGCCAGGTTTGTTTTCACTATGATAATATCGCTGCCAGGTTTGGTTTCACTATGATAATATCGCTGCCAGGTTTGGTTTCACTATGATAATATCGCTGCCAGGTTTGGTTTCACTATGATAATATCGCTGCCATGTTTGGTTTCACTATGATACATATAATATCGCTGCCAGGTTTGGTTTTACTATGATAATATCGCTGCCAGGTTTGGTTTCACTATGATAATATCGCTGCCATGTTTGGTTTCACTATGATACATATAATATCGCTGCCAGGTTTGGTTTTACTATGATAATATCGCTGCCAGGTTTGGTTTCACTATGATAATATCGCTGCCAAGTTTGGTTTCACTATGATAATATTGCTGCCAGGTTTGGTTTCACTATGATAATATCGCTGCCAGGTTTGGTTTCACTATGATAATATCGCTGCCAGGTTTGGTTTCACTATGATAATATCGCTGCCAGGTTTGGTTTTACTATGATAATATCGCTGCCAGGTTTGGTTTCACTATGATAATATCGCTGCCAAGTTTGGTTTCACTATGATAATATTGCTGCCAGGTTTGGTTTTACTATGATAATATCGCTGCCAGGTTTGGTTTCACTATGATAATATCGCTGCCAGGTTTGGTTTCACTATGATAATATCTCTGCCAGGTTTGGTTTCACTATGATAACGACGGAAACGGTTACCTGGAGTACACGGAGTTCTGTCAGTTTATGAAGGACCTGTTTTTAAAGAAGGACTGCGCCAAAATCACCCCTAAGGAGGTAACTAAGTATAATGTATATTTTATATTTGGTTACTAACTAAGATGTAACCAAGTACTTAAAAACTTAAATGTGCTGTAACTATGCTGTAACTATGCTGTAACTATGCAGTAGCCAGGCAGAACCTCCTAATATCTGTAGGTAGAGAAGTACACAGCTGACATGATAAACGTCATGGATACCCACGATGTGAACCAGGATGGAAAGTTCGAGATGAGCGAGCTGGCAGATTATCTGAAACTGGAGGAGAACTTCCTGGACAAGATTATCAAGCAGAAGATTATAACCAGCAAACATGTCAAGGTTATTGGTTTCTTGTGTTACCAGATATCAAATTATAACCAGCAAACATGTCAAGGTTATTGGTTTCTTGTGTTACCAGATATCAAATTATAACCAGCAAACATGTCAAGGTTATTGGTTTCTTGTGTTACCAGGGGGGGGGGCAATGTGATTATAACCAGCAAACATGTCAAGGTTATTGGTTTCTTGTGTTACCAGATATCAAATTTTTAGCAGTTCATTCAATCCTGAATTACCTTCAGAACATTATGAACAGTAAACACGTCAAGGCAATCATGTATGTTTAAGCTCTTAATTACAGATAGTAAAATACAAAACACTGCAACCAAATCTCTCTCATAAGGTAAACAAATGATTCATTCCCTATGTTGCCCGTTTATTTAGCCCTAAAATGGCTCCCCGCAGGATATTCTATCTCATTATGATTCCAACGAGTCAGACACTATCGAGGGACCTGAAATGCACGCTTTCGTTGGAGATATAGCGCGACATCTGGGTCTAAAGCTGAGCCTTTCTGTTATCCAGTCCGGGATTGACCGGGTTAAAGTGAGTGTTTAATAATCATCTACTGGGATGGGTAGTTCTAATTAGTGAGTGTTTATCTACTCACCACAGGAATGGCCAAGGCCTGGGTAAACAGCTTAACCTAGTTGCCTGTACAAGAAATCCTCTTCACATTCCAATAAGATTTTCACGAAAACAATTATTAAAGATCTGCAATAAATTGTGTATTGTCTGCACACTAAACGGGGGGGGGGGTCGCTACACAAATACACAGTGTAGCGACCCCCCCCCCCCCCCCCCCCCCCCCCTCACTTAAGGGGACATACACCAAAAGCTTTTATGCCCTGGCCCTGCTGTTAACGTCATATTAAGAAAGTATACATAAAAACAATAAGATTTGATACATTAAAAATTATTTTTGAGGACCCGCACTTTCGAAAAAATAAATATTTTCTTTTTCGAAATTTTTGGAAATTTTGAGAAGTCTGACACTGTAATACCGATATTTCGGTCATTTTAAACGTTTATTGACTGATTTTTTAACTGAACATTATTTATAATCCGTACAAGAAGCCCTTCAAAGGATTTTATAATTAAAATATAGATGACGAAGTTAAAGACCAAACAAGGTCGAGAGAAGCAAAATTGAAATTTTTGTAAAAATCAAAGTTGTATATTTTACCATTCACCCAGGTCATAAGATATCGCTTCAAAAATTCTTGTGAGTGTAGCTGATGATCATATCCAACTTTTTGGAACAGGATTTCTCCCAATTTTGAGTTTTAAGGTATGAAATGTGGCCTCAAACGACTTAGTAAAATTCATCGTAAAAAGGGCCAAACATGGCAGATTTAAGACTTAAAATGCCTATAACTCACAAAGTATCAGTTTTTTTTTGAAATAAATTTTACAGAATCGTAATTAGTACCAAATAGGTGATTTTAGAAGACAAATTGTCTTAAATAATTTTCTAGCTCGAACACAAGCTCCCCCCTTGTATAAATTTTGTACAAATTGTACACATTTTTTTACAAATTTTGTGTCTTTAACTATTATAAATTTGATACTAAAAGATTTGTCTTACCAAGCTGATTACGATCCTGTAAAAATTATTTCAAAAAAACTGATACTTTTTGAGTTATAGGCATTATAAGCCTTAAATCTGCCATGTTTGGCCCTTTTTACGATGAATTTTACTAAGTCGTTTGAGGCCACATTTCATACCTTAAAACTCAAAATTGGGAGAAATCCTGTTCCAAAAAGTTGGATATGATCATCAGCTACACTCACAAGAATTTTTGAAGCGATATCTTATGACCTGGGTGAATGGTAAAATATACAACTTTGATTTTTACAAAAATTTCAATTTTGCTTCTTTCGACCTTGTTTGGTCTTTAACTTCGTCATCTATATTTTAATTATAAAATCCTTTGAAGGGCTTCTTGTACGGATTATAAATAATATTCAGTTAAAAAATCAGTCAATAAACGTTTAAAATGACCGAAATATCGGTATTACAGTGACAGACTTCTCAAAATTTCCAAAAATTTCGAAAAAGAAAATATTTATTTTTTCGAATGTGCGGGTCCTCAAAAATAATTTTTAATGTATCAAATCTTATTGTTTTTATGTATACTTTCTTAATATGACGTTAACAGCAGGGCCAGGGCATAAAAGCTTTTGGTGTATGTCCCCTTAACGCTTCACAAGGCATCTTCTAATCATTGCCACGATTTTGCCGTTCTGGGAGCCGACCGGGAATACTCAAATTTAACCCATTTAGAGTAGTGTATTCTATTCTATTCCATTATACTCTACTCAATTCTATTCCATTCTATTCAGTTCTGTTCAATTCTATTCAATTCTATTCAATTCTATTCAATTCTATTCCATTCTATTCAGTTCTGTTCTACTCTACTCTATTCCATATAGAGTAGTATTGTTCTAATAGTGCTTAAATAAAGAATGTCCCCAGGAGAAAGTAGGTACGGACACAGTTGGCACTACAGCTATTAAGATACTGCTAGCTGAGGAGAGTGTAAAGGAGCTCCAGAAGAGTTTCACTGGCTAAAGAGGGGAGATTAAAATAGCAAATCGTGTGCTATAGTAACTTATTACTTATACAATGTTCAATTTTTCAGCAATTAACTCTTGGTGATTGATTAATAATTAAGTTAGACTCCATCCGATTATTAGTAAAATGGACTGTTGTCGCCTATTTTTTTTTCTTCAAAATAATAAAAATGAATAAAGTCAAAACACCATGGCTTTTCTTTTCGGCCTGCACAACTATTTTGCCACTAAATCGAGTTCGTTTTGGGCCACACGAATATAGCCCAGTTCTACCCCAAGAAAAGCCTCGATTCAACAAAATGAATCAAATAATGAGTTGATTTCTAATTGATTAAAGACCTAAATGGTCCATTAATTAAACTTACAACGTTGAGCACTTTAAGTTTTCTGACGTAATGTTGTTCTGTGTGTACAAATTCGTGAATAACATCTTGTCTCTGAATCTGCTTCTTTGACATATTTCTCGTCTTTATCAGCTGAAATGGGTGATTGATTATATAAGGTAACATTATGTAAAATTATGTAAGATTTATTAAGATTGATAATTTTCAATAATGTTAGCATTATAATGTTTTATCTCAAGGTCAGAGTCTCAATCAATCAATCATTCTTCACGAAATAGGGACAAATTTATGAAATTGCTTGACAACAAATTCAACCGTGTATTTCTAGACACGAGCTTTTAATTTAATTTGATCTAATTAAATGACTACTAACCTGGGAATGAGTCTGAGACCACAGAACCATATCATCAGGAATGTCCAGATCTGGATCATGCTCAAACTCAATGAGGTTAACATTCCTACTCTCCCGCCGGTTAACACTGTTCGGATCCAGGAATGGTGATCTGTTCGAACCGTCCGAACTGTTGCTGGCAAAAATACTGTGTTCTTCTTGTCATTTTTAAATTTAACTCATTTAAGTTAGATCTAGCGCACGATTGAATACTTTTGTTTTAATTTGATTTTAGTTGTTTTGTTGCAGCAATTTTCTACAAAAAAGGAAGAGATAAAAACTGAAAAATACCTTGACATATCTTCAGAGGAAGGCCGCTTTAAAATATCACTGAAAATAAATCCATATGTTATTGATTAATAGATCACTGAGATTTCTTTTAAATCTTGAAGAATAGAAGTGAAATATAAGTTTATGCTGGCAGCTGGTTGAATTATATAACAATTTATGAAGTGTGTGTAACCAATAAACAGATCAAGGGCCAGTTAAACAAGAGTGCTTTTAAAGCTTTAAAGTTTTAAACCACAAAGTAACTGTAACAAACTTGAAAATGTCCCTTGAGGAAGGATTAATTTATTTTAGTTTAACCAAAGCAAGATATTGGACAATAGTATTTGGAGACAATACCAAACAGAGTAGCGGAACATTAATGCTAATTTAACGGTGAGCTTTATAATTTGGTTAAGTGCAGCATCCATATAGGGAACAACTGCCCAGTAATCTCACTATGAGTAGGTAAATTTATTGGGTTCAGAGACATTATTGTCTTCAGTAGAACTCTCTCAAGAGAACTAGCTGGCGAACTTTCTAGTTTCTACTTCCAGACCCAACCCAATATTTTGATAAAATGTGCAAAACATGCAGTAAAAATACTTAAATCTAAAATTAATTAAAGATATATCTTATTTCAATCTGTGTAGCACTAGATCCTAAGGAGCGAGGGGACATGTTCATCACAGAATGATGGTCGAAGGAATGTTCACATATAACGTAAGCCAGATATTGACCTTTCGGACCCGCTCCGTAAGCTACTTTAAACATAACATTGTATAGAAATTATAGTTAGCCTTTCCAAACCCCCCCTCCTAAGATAGCTAACGCACGATGTGAACAATCCCTTACAAACTTAAACAGCAGGATTATTAGACAACAACGTAAGATTACAACTCCAAGATAAAGCGGACACACACACACGACTGCTGAAAAGTGAACATGGGGAATTTTATCATGTTAATTAATTAGCTAATAACATGAAAATAAAATAATAATATGCATGTAATTATGACTGCTGACACTTTGTTCTGATGATCAACTGATAGAGCAAAACCGGGAGAGTAATCATGAAATGAAATGAAAGAGTCGGAACAGTGTAGTAAGTGTAACCAGCTAGTTATATTACCAGCAGCTCATTATCATTATATAGACATTGATGTTCAGAAGTATAAAATTGTGACGTCAGAGATTTGTTATAATCAATCCTTATAAGAGTGATTTGTAACTTAAGAGAATCACTTTTCATCGGTAGTCGCAAAGGCACGATTACAGAATTCGATAATAATGATCATTATGGATTATGATTATATCGTTATGTGATTATGACTATATAATCATTATGTTATTTCGATTACAGAACGATTATCATCACACTATACACAGCATCTTTGTGTAATTATAAGTGAATATTCTCAATATGTGGGCATAATTAGGCAAATCTGTGCAATTCTAAGCATATCTGTGCAACTCTATGTAAATCTGTGCAGAGTGAATCTCGAGCATTAAGGATGAGCTATATTTACCGAACCCTTGCAGCTGGTATAACACTTCTGAGTATTTAACATTTTAACTTAAAATGTTTAAATAACATTTATTACTGTTTTGATTTTCAAGTGAGATAAATTAGATGTCGATCTGTGCAGAGTAAATCTCGAGTATCATGGATGTGTCATATTTACCGCGCCCTTATAGCTCTAGTTTTTACTTTTACCACAGTTTCACTGCTGAGTGATTATTTAAGGTTGTAACTTAAATGTGTAAAGTACACTTATTTACATTAATTAAGTAGGAGAAATCAGAGGTACGAAACACAAAACCTACTGGCGGATTGTTTTCATTGCAAACACTTGCTTGCCGTCCAATGACATGCACCTAAGTATTAAGTTAATAATAAATTAGCTAACCAATAAATAACCACTAAAAGATTCGTTTTCTACAGAATTGCTTCACTAGATTTTAACTAGAAGTATCACGTAATAACAAGGTATAAAGTAAACTAACTGCCAAATCCAAACTCCAATACTTCAAGAGTGCCATCCTGAGGGGACTAATCCTTCACTTATTCTGTTAATTCATTATTATAATTAGTCCCCTGAGGATTACACTTTAAGTCTTAAGATGGAAATTACCGTTAGTTGCACTTGATACCACGTGATTAAAAAATCAGCCAATTCACGTCTTGATCAAGAAACTTGATCAATAAGTAAATTGGCAGATTCGAGATAAAAGTGGCAGTACTCACTTGAACATTTCCGATTCCTCAGCGGCGGATTTAGGACGGTTAATTCCCTCGGTTGGTCTTTTAGGAACAACGGAATGATCCTTGGGTAGACTCTTCCAGCGCTTTACAGGGGTATCTGTCGGCAATCTGAATATGATACTGTTTCACACTAGTTAGATGGTAAGTGAAAATGGCATGATAAGATATTAACTAAATTATTAATTAAATGATTAATGAAAATAAAAACGTGACAGTTGCAGTCATTACAGTCTCAGTAGTGAGTGGTGAGTAGTCAGTCGATCTTGTAAGTAAGTTAGTAAGTTTAATGAGTTTAGTAAGTTTAGTAAGTTTAGTAAGTTTAGTAAGTTTAGTAAGTTTAGTAAGTTTAGTAAGTTTAGTAAGTTTAGTAAGTTTAGTAAGTTTAGTAAGTTTAGTAAGTTTAGTAAGTTTAGTAAGTTTAGTAAGATTAGTAAGTTTAGTAAGTTTAGTAAGTTTAGTAAGTTAGTAAGTTTAGTAAGTTTAGTAAGTTTAGTAAGTTTAGTAAGTTTAGTAAGTTTAGTAAGTTTAGTAAGTTTAGTAAGTTAGTAAGTTTAGTAAGTTGAATAAGTTTAGTAAGTTTAGTAATTTTAGTAAGTTTAGTAAGTTTAGTAAGTTTAGTAAGTTTAGTAAGTTTAGTAAGTTTAGTAAGTTTAGTAAGTTTAGTAAGTTTAGTAAGTTTAGTAAGTTTAGTAAGTTTAAGTAAGTTTAGTAAGTTTAGTAAGGTTAGTAAGTTTAATAAGTTTAATAAGTTTAGTAAGTTTAGTAAGTGTACTTGTCAGGCACTGAGGTCGAAGAGAGCCGTTTCAGTAAAGAGTTCAGACTTTTCCTTTTCTCAGGATGCTTCACTTCAGGGCTACTACCAACAACCTTGTAGAGTAACTACCGTCATCAATAGTCAGTATTTTACTATCATCAGGTACTACTAGTACAGGTACTATACTACTAGTACTTACTAGGTTGCATTGCCTTTTAATGGGAAGCGAAACTTTGTTCGACATAAGACCCCTATCAATGCATGGAACTACAAAACTAAAATCTTGCTTTTATTTTTCAAACTCGGCGGTTATAAATTCAGGAGTATAACAATAAGTAAGTCACCCTGGCGTGAGGTTTAGGAGAATAGATAGGACTGAAGGTAACCGAGCTTCTAAGAGGTCTGTCAGTCTGTCTGTCAGTCTGTCGGTCAAAGTATGGCGGTCTCTCCGGGGTCTGTGAAGGCGGAGTTGGCAGAGGGCCAATGTCCGGTGTTGTGCTGTCGGTCTGTCGGTCCGTCGTGCAGTCTGTTGCCGTCTCCGAGAAAACGGGTGACAGCACCCGCATTGGCAACGAGCTATAACAACGAGTCATTACAATGATTTAAAACGGCCGGTTTGCAACTCCTGCTCCTTTCGGGAGGCCGACGACCAGGCCCCCTCATTATTAGGGGTCCCACGGAGATCAGATCATATCACCAATTAGTAACGTATAATTAGTGATATAATCCATCAGTAGAATTTAACTGACCTAGAAATGGGCTAGATACAGTGTAGAATTCACATATCAACTCTGTACATCATGGATGTGCATTAAGAAGTAAACATGATCTTTTAGATTACATAAGGGACGGGAGCTCTTAATAAAGGGGGGTTCTCGTATCTAGGGATGTGAGACGTACGTGCCAAAGGCATGCAACGGGAGTGAGCCGATCAAGTGTTCTTAGGTATATAATTCAAGGACAAAAGGAAATCGCGGCACGTGCGGAGTCGCGATTTTTCCCAATCTCCGCGACAAATCGCGATTTTTGACGTTTGCAGCGACAAATCGCGATTTTCATATTTTATCATGTTTCTTGCTTACTGTATGAAAAATGGGTTTAACAAGAATTTCGCCGCGGTTACACCACGCACGATTAATTTTCCCTGCTTAAACCGTTAATGTTTGCAACGAAAAGTTAATTTTATCGATTAATAAAAATCAGATATTGGATTATTTTGTTGTTAAAAAGTTGCAATATTTTCATCGTAATTTGTCATTGCGCGCGTGCAGGATTGCATGTACTCGAATATATAGTACGCCGCGCACAAATTTTGGGCTAATTTAATTTGAACGGCATCGTTTGACAGTTGAAATTCGCGTTGGATACTGCAATTAACTAACACATGCCGAGCGTCGCGCGCAGCATAACAGACGCTTCCTATACACTTAATTATAGGGGAGTGGTCTATATTGCGAAGGAGCAGACTTTTGTCATCATCGCAGGTCCATCGGGATAGCTCATATATCCAAACCCGATTACTTATTCCCTACGATCTTTTTGCCTTCGGCAAGAGCAGGGAAAAAATTATTTGCTAAAATTAAAAAAGTTTTAAAAAAGATGAAAAAAATTCGGATTTTTGATGGTTTTGATTGCCTTCTAGCGTTCATATTAATGTCCGTTCATAATTATGTCCGTTTAAGTAATGACCGTCCAAATAAGGTCCGATAAGGTTAGTATATGGAACCAATCACATCCACAGCCTTCCGAATGTATATACGGACTTCAGAAGCTCATAATGATCAGGGTAGCATGAAATATGAACAAACGTAGTTTCCAGAAAATCTAGGTCAGTTAAATTCTACTGACGGATCACATCACTAATTATACGTCACTAATTGGTGACATGATCTGATCTCCGTGAGCTTGAGGGGGCCTGGCCGTCGTGCAGCCCTCCTGTCAGTCGATCAAAATTATCTGTTATTGTCAATTGAAATTACCTGTTATCTGTTTTTGAAGTTATTTCCTTGTGTTTTTCTTACAATCTGTTGTTATTATGATGAGTCCAATATAAGTAAACTACTTGAAGTTATTTCCTTGTGTTTTACTTACAATCTGTTGTTATTATGATGAGTCCAATATAAGTAAACTACTTGAAGTTATTTCCTTGTGTTTTACTTACAATCTGTTGTTATTATGATGAGTCCAATATAAGTAAACTACTTGAAGTTATTTCCTTGTGTTTTACTTACAATCTGTTGTTATTATGTTGAGTCTCTAGTTGGTCCACGTGTTCGTGGGAGGTAGAGTTACTGGTACTGTCACTGTACCCACTGGGTGAGAGGTTGTCACGCGACCCGTCACTTTCTAGTCCCGGTGACAGGGGATCTGAGGTGTAATTAGATAATTAATTAGATAATTAATTAAATGTTTTCATGCAGATAAATGTAAAGTAAAGAGGTTATTGAATAAAACTGATATGCAAATATTAATGTTGAATTTAAATGCACATGTAAAAGAATTTACATGAAACAAATCGGGGTTCTTAAATTTGCAGATCCACAATATAATATAAGAATATACAGCATACGGTCACGGAACTGACTAGGATTCCAAAGTAAATTCCGCGTTTTGTGTAAAACATTAGCAAGGATTTACCAACTGCCTTACAATTATCTCACCACAACTTGAATATAATGCACATAAATAAAAATAATGTATTGTCCAGCGACGAGAACATTATGAGCAACAAATACTGAAAAATGTTGACATGTTGAACATGTTGAACATGTTGACATCATGAACAGGCAAGGAGGCTGGGCGGTGGAACTAGACATGAACTTTCAGCTGAAGCTATTTAAATTGCATGATCTTCTTCATTTTATTATGATCAGCGTGGTAAAACTCAAAATAATTAATATAAACTATAACTCTAAACTAATTATGACTCATAATTATATGAGTCATAATTAGCTACTAATTGAAGAGCCCTCAACGACTACAGCAGAACGGGAATCTTGCCTGCTACGGGTCTATTTCTGGCAATACTTGTGTACCACAATACATATTCTGTAGGAATATACAGTACTTTAATTAACCATCTATCATTAAAATCTCATACATAACATAAAGAATTGCCAAAAATTGCTGAAAGAGAAGAAGGATTGAATAATACAATTGTAATAAAGAAGTTATCCAATATTCATATTACACTTACTGCTGCATACTTTAGCAACCTCGATTAACGTTCAACATTAACTTTATTAATTAGTTAAACCACAATCATCACCGGAGGGGGGGGGGGGGCAATTTTATGCAATTGGCACCCCCCATCATCACCACTCTACAAAAGAAATTCTAAAGAAAAAATTAATTGATTATATAATATCCTGAATTAGGTAGAATTATTAACACACAAACATTAAAAGACTGCAAACATACAAACGTACAGACGTACAAACCAACACTCACCTCGTTGTTTGTGTCCGAGAGGGTTGCTGAGCGAGGGGAGGCCCTGGCGAGGGAACTAGTTTAGAGACAGAGAATATATCAAGAATAATTGAAAAACAGATAAAATATTGAAAATAGTTGAGGAACAAACAAAATACCTTCAAAAAAAATCAAATTGTGGATATACACAAGAACAGTTCACTGTCATAAAACAACAGTTAATTTTCATATTACGACTGTAAGATACAAATTATAGGTGCAAAGTTAGCTAAATTGAAGCCAAAACATACACAAAAATTGCTGTTACACTCTGTAGCGTACACAAAAATCGACCTTACGTCCAAATTCCTGGAAATCGTTCAAGCAAAATAATTCGCGATGAAAACAAATCAGTACTGAATGTTAACCCACACCCGCCAGATTGGATTATTATCTTCAGAGCATGCAGATTTCTATTATTTTCATAAAAATTATAACTCAAGCGAGAATACAAAATGATAATGCGAAATGAACAGAGCTCAATATATATGGAGAATATTCAACACTTGACAAGCATTAAATATGTTCAGCTGATGAATGTTAATCATCACATGATACAGCATGCCATGTAACCAATGTATTTTACAGGGTAGAAACTACAAATGTGAACATTAAAGAAACAGCCAATATAACAGCAAAATATATAACAGTGAAATCTTGGATTCAAGATCTGAATTGTTACACCTGTCTTTAATACAATTACATTGAGCATCATATTGTGGACAAACTTATTTCCAGTAATATTCTGAATTAAGAGTTTTAAAACAATTTCGAAGTTTCAAGAATCAAACCACGCTTAAAAACCAATTTAATTTACTATATACGATATCAAGCATGCGAGTCAGGGTGGTCAATTCCTGTCAATACAATAATTACACTATGATTAATAACTATAATTACATTGTAATTAGAGTAATTACACTATGTAGTTACCAATAAGTTTCAAAATATAGCAGTTTTGCGTGCAACAATCCAGGTTCGTGCCGTTGTTAGTGTTCATCTTTGCAATTGATATATAATGTGGTAACAGTGTAACCGTTACACCATGCACTTATACGTGTTATTAATTTCAACCACGATACGATTCACCGTCCTCAATTCGATAGCATACAGTTAACAATTTCAGTCTCATTACGGTTAATACTCCCCGATTGCTTGCGGAGATACTCCCCGATTGAACAGTATTTATTTACAAAGCAAGCAGTAATTATTGCCATAACAGAGAGAAGATGTAATATCACTCGGATCCAATAAAACTTACTTTAAGGGAGTGAGCACCTCTAGTGACTGGCTGTAACGAGTTTTAAAACTAAGCTTGTTACATAATGAGCTAATTAATTGGGTAATTAATTGTAAACTCTGATTATGACACTGTCTCAACCACACGCTTCACACTTCTCATTTAAGGGACTAAAACATAAAGTCCAAACTCATCAACACTCGACAAACAAACAAAAGGAACAAACAAACAAACAAACAAAAGGAACAAACAAACAAACAAAAGGAACAAACAAACAAACAAACAAACAAACAAACAAACAAACAAACAAACAAACAAACAAACAAACAAACGAACGAACGAACGAACGAACGAACGAACGAACGAACGAACGAACGAACGAACGAACGAACGAACGAACGAACAAACAAACAAACAAACAAACAAACAAACAAACAAACAAACAAACAAACAAACAAACAAACAAACAAACAAACAAACAAACAAACAAACAAACAAACAAACAAACAAACAAACAAACAAACAAACAAACAAACAAACAAACAAACAAACAAACAAACAAACAAACAAACAAACAAACAAACAAACAAACAAACAAACAAACAAACAAACAAACAAACAAACAAACAAACAAACAAACAAACAAACAAACAAACAAACAAACAAACAAACAAACAAACAAACAAACAAACAAACAAACAAACAAACAAACAAACAAACAAACAAACAAACAAACAAACAAACAAACAAACAAACAAACAAACAAACAAACAAACAAACAAACAAACAAACAAACAAACAAACAAACAAACAAACAAACAAACAAACAAACAAACAAACAAACAAACAAACAAACAAACAAACAAAACAAACATAACCGTGGTTAACTAAGACTGGAGTTAACAGTCCTAACTTAGGACGCACGATCGTCATGTGGCCCAAGTATGCTATGAGAGTATACAATTTTACTACAAAAAGCACACAATTCCAGTTACATTTTCAGGTTTTTACCATAGCTGAAGACAAAACGTAAACACATAAACGAACAAACTATGGTTAAAACATATCCTTACCTTGCTTGTTTCCTTGTTTCTCAGGCTGTGCAACTTCTTAGCTATTTTATCTACATCACGCTTGTTCATAGAGAAACTTCGAGCAATGTTTGAGGAACCCTAAGGGAACGTTCGAAATGATGGAAACTGTTCTATTTAGAAATGTAGAATGGAGACGAGGTAGGTAAATAAGGGAACACATCAGATGTTATCAAAATAATATCGAAGTATAATAATTTATAATATATCAAATAAAGTGATTATATCGTTGAGGGTGTAGTATTGACTGTGAGGGAGTAGAAACTAAATAATAATAATAACAATAATATTTAATAATATATTTAAATCAGTAATATAATTCCAACTCACGTGAAGAACTCCAATATCTTCTAAAACGTACTGTACCGCTGCTATCAGTGCTTTACTGAAGGAATACATTCAGAAACAATATACAATATACAATATACAATGCTTCAGGAGATATTATTATCCCAAAAGTGCAGCAAAAACGTACACAAAATTAAGACATAAAATTTGGCCCCCCCCCCCCGCTCTAGTATAACAAAAACATGTATCTTACTTACTTCTTCTCTTCGTGCAAATCATTTGTATCCTTCCTGAAAACGTGAGCCAATCAAAATGAGAGAATACAAAATCTATAATATTGAAAACTGGTTGGAAGAAGTTCAACTTTTGTTTTCCTTGATGTTTTACTACTTAGTAAACTAAAAATATCAAATTAATTAGTTGGAACGAACGACTCAAGACATAGTCTCATTAAACTTCTGAACTATCGCCTATCTACAGCTGTCCTACTCGATACTAAACATCAAGAATTATCAAATTGAATTAAGAATGCTTCAAATCGAAGACGTGGAATTTTAAGTCACAAAATCCACATAAATAACAGAACTTAATAAAGTCATAAAAAACTTTTAAAATGGCACGCGTCCAACCACAAACCAACACAGGGAACATACCCAAAAATAATAACACGAGCCCTCAGAACATCCCGGCTACAACTAACATCTTCATAAATTTAGTTATGATTTAAAAGTATGCCATTCCTCATACACGAGCCCTTCAAGTTTAGAATTCCATGCATGTTTCGAGCAATAAATGAGAAGAACAGTGCAATGTAAGATAACGGAGCAATGTAAGATAACAGAGATAACGGAGCAATGCAGGAGAGAAGTAAAATATAGGGTGGTTAGTGTAATGGTGGTTAGTGTAATGGTGGTTAGTGTAATGGTGGTTAGTGTAATGGTGGTTAGTGTAATGGTGGTTAGTGTAATGGTGGTTAGTGTAATGAAGGAGAGGCACCACTATAATGCATTATTCATTAGTCATTAGTCATACTCAACATCTTTGCCAGCGTACCATGTAAAGAACCTATCTATTCCCCATATCACATCACAAAGATAAAAGACATTCTATGAAAATCATCGACCTATATCCACCATAATAGTAAAGGGTAACATTATACCACAGAGGAGAAAACATTACGCAAAATAAAATTTGATGAAGGAGTTCGGTTCATTCCTAAAAGCTGTTACAGTCCAAAATAAGAGGAAAATAAATGTAAAATGTAAAAGATGCTGCAAGAATGTGATACATTCAGTTAATCAGTTTTAAACGTGACACAAGACTAATACCTCTTCAACTGATCAGCCCAGATTCCATTCAGTTCGCTCCTGAGATGTTTGTTAAGTACAGGTTACCATTACAAAACAAATTACAATTACAGGAATTACAATTACAAGGATTACATTTAAATAACAACAAGGAAATACGTGTGATATACAAAACATATAAGTGCCTTTTACTGTCAGTAAATACTTTAGAATTCTACTTATGAATGTTGTTGTGATCAGTGAATTCTTCTTGTGAGAGCTGACTTTGTTTACCTGTTTAAAAACTTAAATCTCCTGAATTTCATAGCTTTACTCCAAACTTCAAGACAAAGCTAAACATCTTGAAAACCGTGCAAAGCAAAAATAACACACTCTAAAAATAGGACCTGTAAGTGTCTAGATAATGCCCTTATACAGCACAAGTTAAGGACTATGTGGTTGCAGGAAATGGGTGGTTGCCATGGCTACCTATGCAGACAGCAGAGGGCTGGAGCTATTGGAGGATTAATGGAATGTGTCCAGGTCTACTGTGTAAGAATGTGTATTCAGTATTATGTGAAAGACAAATGTTTTGGGAATTTACATTATATTGGTGTGGGTTTCAATTCTTTAGAGGTGAGCGTCATCATTCAGTGTTGTAAGGAATGTTTACTCAATATTATGCTTTATTGTACGAGGATCGTGTTTCAGGTTTGATACTTTCTGACAGTAATGCGATACTTCATTCTAAATCTAGAAGGGTGGCCGGTGGATTTCAAGAAAAATCGGTCGAATTTCATCCCGGATAAATCGCTTTAACAATAATTTCGGCGACAAAAAGTTTTCACCCAAATTTTTAAGACATATAGTTGTATGAACGTTATGAAAACTATGTTCATCAATTATCATTTGTGTGGCAATCAGTAATTACCATGAATCATCGCTATACATGCAGACTTGATGCAGTCATAAACCGGGAAATCGTGGAAAACCTGGATCGTCAATCTATTGCTGCGCGCGGTGTTTATTTAGCGCGCGAATATAAGTGTGAGACATGATTTATTTTATCATTTGGCAGACTATGCGCGTTACAAACATCTCATTGGACCATCGTATATGTTCGATACAGTACGCCATTTCGAATACTTTATTCATAATCTAATGAAGCACATTTATTGCATATCCGTTTCAATCATGATCATGAGAGTCTCACATTGAAATTAGGTCCACTATGAGAATTTGTGATGTTTTGTTTTGAGTCACGTAAAAGAAAATTACACAAATCCTGTTAAATCTTGGTACAAACTGAAGTGGAACATCGAAAAGGACAGTGAAATTGCATGGGAGATAGTAAGTTACATAGTTAATTGATATTGATGGATGACAGTGTCCAAGTATTTCAGAATAGTTTAGACAGATTATTGTTCTTACTTACATCAATTCCTCAAATTTATCGATGAGAATTTGTTTTGCGACTCGCTTTTCATCCTCAAACGTATCCAATCCTGAAACAAAAATATTATCAGCCCCATTAGTAACTACATTAGTAACTACCAGACATCAACATTTGAAATTACATTGTGTCCTTTAATCCCAATAATTATACAAAATTCGCGCAATAATTTGGTGTTGCATATTTTGTTGGAATGTAAAACAGCATACCAGCAAAACATGATATCCAACCAGCACAGGAATTTACTTTCAACATTATGACATGTTACTGTCACTAAATTAACTTTTGCTTGTTCACTTCTGTCGCACAATCACACACGACAGCAAATTAATCAAAATGTCAGGAGTAATTGGCCATGTCGCGAAGAAGCGTTTTAAAGTGTCAGTTTCAATAAATTAATATTTATTAATTATCAATATAGTACTGTTCTGGAGAATCAATAATATTGTACAAAATTCCGTTAAATTGCTAAATGAGTTGCTTGATTAAGTTACCGTATGGTTTGTTTAAGTTCCATCAGGCCAATAAAGCCTTACAATCATCTGCAGTCTGCACTGTAATTATTACAGTGAAGCATTTCAAAGATCATCCCATCCAGCTTTTTTAAAGAATTTAAATTACATATTATATAAATTATATTAACATAATGACACTACAGCCAGATCGGTGATTAGCGCTAAATTTGGATACCATTTAGTTGACATTTCCGACATTTGACGTTTATACTGGATCACCAGATTAAATATTATAGTGTAAAAATAGCCACCAATCTGCCCAGTCCTTCATTTATAATGAAATTATGTATCCGTACATTATACAAAAAAACAATTTTTTCCAGATTAAAACTGTTATTTTGACTGTTAATATAGAATATTCAGGACTGGCTAATACAAGTGTATCCATCGAGAGATATCAATCCATCAATCCATCGAGAAATAAACTCGAGTGTGACATGATCATTTAGAGTACAAACAATGGAAATACCGTTAATTTAGGTTACTTCCAATTCTGTACCATATTTGAAAACTAGGACTACAACCTTGAATATTATCTTACTAGTTACCATTCACCACAACATAATAATATGCGAAGTTGCACTCAATTCTTAAGTCTTAATAAAGTTCAAAAAGATAATAATATAATCAAGAATGTGATATCATATTCAACTAGGAATTAAAGAATTCGCCCAGGAATAATTAATGACTTCAGTGTACTGAAATCAACACGTCTCTCTGACTGTTACACTATCAGAATGTGTGAAAACACGTATTTTAATTAACTTAACGTATTTTAATTAACTTACCACTTTCTACAGTGTATTGTATGTCAAATAATTTGATCAAACCGCGGGATTTTATAATGACGAGTAGTCGAGGGAGGCTACCGCCAGAATTTTGTGTTGTGGAGATCAGCCAAGAAATGATTCTAGTATTCTACTCTTCAAGAGTTTAGTTTAATTGATTTTTATTCATTTATGGTAAGTCATCGTTATAGTGCTGCTTATTTATTTGTCAAGCAGAAGTTTCCGGTCCTTGCCAAATATTTACGTTAATTTTTGGAATGCAAAGATTAAACGCTGCCGAGTTTTAAATCTTAATGATACAAGTGGTGAGTTAATTAATTAATTAATTAATTAATTACACCTCAGTTAACTATCTTTATCAGCTAAAATATGGGACAGGATTCCCCCGGCCCCCCAGAGTTAATGTGTGTATTTTTAGTGGAGGGGCGTGGAGTGGGTAGTGGCTATTTTACTAAGTCACAGACCGTCACAGACTGTCACAGTTTAATAGTAGTCAGCAGGCCGGAATGGGATTTAAGAGGCTTAATGAAATAGCTTTAAATATCACTTTATTAAATAAAAGTATAAATACTTTATTACACACATTACATTCTCTCTCTCTCTCTCTCTCTCTCTCTCTCTCTCTCTCTCTCTCTCTCTCTCTCTCTCTCTCTCTCTCTCTCTCTCTCTCTCTCTCTCTCTCTCTCTCTCTCTCTCTCTCTCTCTCTCTCTCTCTCTCTCTCTCTCTCTCTCTCTCTCTCTCTCTCTCTCTCTCTCTCTCTCTCTCTCTCTCTCTCTCTCTCTCTCTCTCTCTCTCTCTCTCTCTCTCTCTCTCTCTCTCTCTCTCTCTCTCTCTCTCTCTCTCTCTCTCTCTCTCTCTCTCTCTCTCTCTCTCTCTCTCTCTCTCTCTCTCTCTCTCTCTCTCTCTCTCTCTCTCTCTCTCTCTCTCTCTCTCTCTCTCTCTCTCTCTCTCTCTCTCTCTCTCTCTCTCTCTCTCTCTCTCTCTCTCTCTCTCTCTCTCTCTCTCTCTCTCTCTCTCTCTCTCTCTCTCTCTCTGAATTTAAAAGGGTAAATTAATCGCGCTCTCAACCATCAGTTTTACTACATTTCTACATTTCCAGGAGATTAAAGCCGGGCACTGCCAAATTAAAGGGCCGAGGGCGGCAGTAATGGTTAAATTGTCAAATATCTCGAGCCTGCAACATTTAATAATGTAGATGCTTTCGTTGGAGGGCGGTGTCATCGCCATATGCCGATAGCAACACCCCCGCCCCCCCCCCCCCCTCCATTTTTAAAGTTAGGTGAACTTCAACGCCCAAGACTGACGCAAAAATGTGACAAAAAACTGTGACACTAAACTTGTCAACTGTATAACTGGGATACTAGTCAAGAAGTCAGTATACCTTATCGGACCTTATTTGGACGGACATTACTTGAACGCTGGAGGCCCTAGCGTACATCTTAATGTCCGTTCAAATAAAGTCCGTTCAATTAATGTCCGTCCAAGTTAAAGTCCGTTGAAATTTTTTCAAAAATTTTTCCATTTCGAACTTTTTGTCCAGAATATGACAACTTAGAGAACTTTATTGTGCCGTAAGTTAACGACGGAAAGGTTCTCCTTGGTCTTCCGGAGGCACAGAAAACTCTACTATTATATGATGTTTTCAAGGCCGGGGTCACTTGGCGGGAAAAAGTCAACGAAATTATGGCACTCAACAACATAGTTCATGAACTAGTCCCCGCCAACATGACAAACTTAAGTTCCAGCCTCTAGATATTACGGTAAATCGTGTTGCCAAGGACATTGTCCGACGTTGTTATAGCTCATATTACTCAGGGGCGGTAATGATGAGCTATAACAACATGTTAAGGTTAACCTTAAGTTGTCTAAGATAAAACCACTTCACGCCGAATGGCTTGTAAAAGTTAACACTGAAATGCAGGACCGGGATAGTTTGATAAAAAAGTTTCCATAAAGCTAGAAATCACTGATGCTTTAAGCATGGACTATTTTATGCACGAAAACCCATTTGATGAAGATGATATGTGATATTAGAAACTGATCATGTACACATATTTTAACATTTTAACTGCTTAATGACTGCTTTTCTTACTTACTGTATAAAAAATGAATTTAAAAATCATTTGCTGAAATTTAAAAAACGTCAAAAAAATTGAAAAAAATTCGGATTTTTGATGGTTTTGAATGCCTTCGAGCGTTCATATTAATGTCCGTTCATAATTATGTCCGTTCATGTAACGTCCGTCCAAATAAGGTCCGATAAGGTATATCCTGGTATTTACAGTGGCTTGTGATGTCAGTTGTCACATATTGTTTCACACGTGCCACATGTACCTTTTAGAGAATATAAAGATGCACGGAATGTTCTGGATAATCTGCAGCTCATGACGTTGGAACGATGTGATCGAGTAGTTTCTTTTTTTGTCCGCGCCTTAGTCATATTCAGTCGAGATAATTCTGTGTGTGGTAATACCAACCCGATTAGAACCTTTGAGATGCAATTGTTTATCTGCACCAGAAGAAACCCAAGATAAATGGGGTTCATCTGCATCAGATAAAATCTAAACAGCTGTGTGGTGAGTGTACCCCCGGTATGTGAGAACTGAGAATGTGTACCCACTATTCGTCCCCTCTCATTGTGGCAATATAAGTACACCGCTTTTAATATTTCAAAATCGAAGACCAAATTTCATCGAGCAGCAACTCTGCCTTCCGTTTTCAACCAGTCCACAACTGCATAACCTGCATCTTGGGCGGGTGGTGAATAAAGTACTTTACCACTCGCTAGACACACCTTTTATCAAGTTATCCATAAATAGCTTACGCAATAACACATTATAATATGCTGGAATATAAGTCTATACGAATAAATAAACTCCAAATCTGGGCTTCAAATACTGCAGCACAAGTTGGCAGCCTCTGTGGAGCCTGGCAGCCAGCCAAGTTGGCAGCCTCTGTGGAGCCTGGCAGCCAGCCAAGTTGGCAGCCTCTGTGGAGCCTGGTAGTCAGCCAAGTTGGCAGCCTCCGTGAATCCTGGCAGCCAGCCAAGTTTGCAGTCTCTGTGGAGCCTGGCAGCCAGCCAAGTTGGCAGCCTCTGTGGAGCCTGGCAAGAACAGAATGGTTGTAGAAGGGGGGATATTAGTGTGTCTGGAGTGTAGGAGACATGTTGATTTGAGCACACTTTGTGCACACTTGATGACGTGCTCAGACAATACAAACTGGAGTGTTCTATCAACTCCAGATTTGATTACAAGCTCTCAATCAATCAAGTTACATGTCAATATGTTCATATGTAAGCCTCTTGATTATATATCACTACATCCAAAGCCCGTTGTTTTTTCCAGAGTGGCATGAGAAGAGAAGTCCACGGGGGGGGATTTACCTAAAATCTAATTTCTCAAAGCTTTTCTGGAATATTCTGCTACCTAGCTTTGATTGAATTATCGAAGTGATACCACTAGTTAGGCCCTAGTGTTGACCTAGAGGCCTAACACTTGAAGTGTAGCCCGACAATCTCACATAACACTGCACCTGTAGTTTTGTTAGCATCAGCCACGGGGTAATGTTAATTTGGTTACATAAACAGGAGTTATTATGCTTATCTAATTCAATAATTCAATATAATTGAATAATTCAACAACATAGGCTGTCAGCTGTACCGAATATAAGTTTTATACATTCATTAAATTTTACATTCTATGAATATACTCATGAGATGCAGTTACGCGTTTTTTACGTCAAACTCTTA